TGTACCCTCGTTCACATTCGTCTTTCATTTAATTTGTGTTTATGTTGGTTTGCTATGTTAGTCCCGGTGGTGTCATGTTTTGTCAGTTATTGTTTACTGTCGAGTGGTACCTTGAGTTAAGCTTCATGCTTTTGCACCAATCCTATTTGTTTTTGTGTACCTTTTTGTTTGCTTTGTTAAGTTAAAATAAATGAGTTGCTTGGAGTCAGAGTGTCCGTTTTTTATAGCTTCGCCAAGCATGGTTGCAGAACTATGACTTTTACACCATTCTGCTCCTAATGCTCAGGCGCGTCTAATGGTATGCTTGTTTATTTGGGAATTAAATCAACATAGAACGTTGCTTTGGGGTGCAAAGCAACGTCTATCAAATCCGACTATCAAATACCTATCTATCATCATCAAATCCGACTATCAAATCTTTTTTCGGTGCTCCATAAACGAAATCTAAAATGAGAACATGCCAAGCATCCCAACACAAAGTTTACTCAGCTAAACGCCAATAACATCTGAGCTACAGTCATCTGACGGACTTGAAATACACACCAATCAACTCCTTGTGACATTGCAAAAGTAGCTGCACCAGAAATAATGCATGTCTACAGTCGACTTCCCTTGCAGGAGGTGCTCCAAATGGCAACCCCTGCGCCACATCAGCATAGGTATTGGGTAATGCACGGTCTCTAGGGGCTCTGTCATTTTTTTGTGAAATCTGCCAAAACTGATCTGGATTTTTTTTTTTAGTGCTTCATGATTTATGCGCGCGGAGACACCATTGGTGTCTTTCAAAGGAGCATTCGGGTAGGTATATAGGGCCTTGAGCATGCAGACCATGCCCCCTCGAAGACCCAATATTTAGCCCAATGCGCCCATAAAGTGCATGGAAACAAATGAGCGGATGACCATTAACTTGGACGATTACCCGCATCCATTCAGCCCCAATGGGCAGCCAATAATAGACGCGGTCCCCTTACGTGTTCTTACGCAAGTTCTTGGCTGAAGAAATGATATGGGCTGAAGTCTGGAGGTGGAGAACAAGGTGCCTGATTCACATTTGCTTTCAAGCTGATGATCAACCCATGAGGAGGAGTCCTTCCTTCAGCTTATTAGTGTCATTGTTGGATGTTGTGTAATCCGGGTCGGCGTTATTGGAACGAATAGTTTTAAGCACCCATACAATGTGAACCATGTAGGTCCACATGATCAAATCTCTTTTAGGTGATCAAATCTCTGATCATGATCAAATCTCTTTTCACATGATCAAATCTCTTTTAAATCAAATCCTACAGCACAGACGACGAAAAGCGTCGAAAGATTTGCCCAAAATGAATGTCTTAATGCAAAACAATTCCCCAAAGTTGCTCGACAATCAACATCCTGAGTAACTCGGGAAAACCGATCGGGAAACGATCGAAAAAAGCGTGCGGCAGAGGAAATCATATTTTGGTGGTCAAAGTTTGGTCAAAGCTGACAAGCTAATGCTAAATGATGTGGAGTAGCAGTATTTGTAGCATTAGCTTCTAATCGATCAGCATTTGGTGGGCATAAGCTGATTAGCTAATGGAAGATAATGGCATATAATACCATTAAACGGACACTAGGAAACCCTAGCGACATTTACGCAGCACAGGAACTCTGAAAACTTTGGCGACTTCTTACAAATAAATGTCGCTCTATGCTGTTTTTATTGCCGAATGTGATTGTTTCTATGGAAGATGAATTCAGTGCTCACTTGTGTAGCATAAGGAGTATTAATAACTTGAAATTTCTCTTTGCACAACATAGTTTGCTGTATCGAATTCATTTCAACAACAACTTTCCTCGCGTTTTCCTCGTCGGACCCCGTCCGCAAACCACGGAATGTGACAGCAGCGAAGCATCGCCTCACCTTATCATTATGTCCCTGCAGTTCCACAAACACACAGTCCGACCTTCATCTGCGTCCTTCACTACCTTACCAGCGTCACCAGCGCCACAAACGTCATCACCGCTCCACAAACGTCACCAGCGCGTCACAAACATCCCCCACACGTCAAGCGCACGTCAGCACGTGTCGCGGATTGGTGAGGTCGCGCGGCACTGGTCGGTCGGGCCTGGGACGGCGGTCGGCGCGTCCTGTCGCCTCAGCTGGGCGGCCTGAGTCAGCGGCCGACCATCGTCGCCGCCGCCGCCGCCGCCGCCGCCTACTGCCGCCAGGCCCGGGCGACGCCGGCGAAAATCGATAGGGGGCCGGGCGCGTGCGGCGGCGGCGGCGGCGGCGGCGGCCCGGCCCGGCTCAGACGGCCCGCCGGCCAGACGACGCGAAACCGGAGCAATTGGCGCCGCCACCAATCAGGCGCGCCAGTCACCGCCGTGACCGTATACCGACGGCTGACGGACGGCCGCGAGCCGCGGGGCATGGGCAGCCGACGGGAGGGCAGAGACGGAGCGAGAGAGTGGGAAAGAAGGACTTACGGTGGTGGGTCGAGGCCTGCGTATACGCTTCACCTGCCTAGACATTTTGTGTTACACTAGTCGATTCAATAGACGGAATAAACGCACGTCTTGTCCTTTCTAGAAGCGTGCAGTGAAGCTCACGAGGTCGACAATGGTTACGTAATTAGACATACCTTACGGCCGTGTCATGCCTGCCATTCTGACGGTAGGTCACTACAAAGCCATCGCTGAGCCAACTACCGGCCGTCGGGCGGAGTTCAGTCGCCCGCGGACAGACTGCACGGCGAAGGTCGTCAGCGAGCGGCTGGGACCGCCGGCCGTCCGCCGGCCCAGTTAGCGGATCGGATCGGACCGGGGACAATGGCCGACCGCAGTGGAAGCCCGACTTAGCGCTGAGGAGCGCCGCTGAATGAACGAAGCCTTTGAAAACGTGCATTGTGAAACGATGTCCGCCCGCCGAGGAAATGATGCCGAAGAAATGAAAAAGGAAAGACGTCATTGACAAACTGAAGGCAATACCTCCGGTGCGTCATTCAAAATCAAAAGTCATCTGCACTCCTCAGGTAGATGACATCCACTACCTAACTCTCCGTCAGATGTTGCTGAATTTTATACGTCTTGCTCGTTTCGTTCACCTGGCACCGAATCTCTCTCCTTCCCTCCCTCCCTCTTTCCTCTGTGTCGGACACACCTGTAACCGGCCGCGCCGGTGGGTGTCTGATCGCCCGGCCCCGGCGGCCCGCTGTGTTTACCCTCACACACTTGTCGGACCGGCTGCCGGGTATCGGTGGCCGCTGGTCCGGACGGGCGCCGCTCCGCCGACCAGCACCGTCCCGGCCAATCAGACAGACACATAGTTAGCCGCGCCATCACTCCTCCCCGGCCCCTCTGCCCTATCGTTCGCTCCCTCCCGCCGCTCCTCTAATATCCTCCTTTATTGTCCTGTGTTTTTGTGTTTCTCTCTTCCTTTCTTTTCTTCTTGTCATTTTCACTTTCATTTTCCTCTAACTCTTGTCTCACATATTCTCTCTCTCTTTTTTTTTCTCTCTCTCTTTCTCCCTCTCTCTCTCTCGCTCTCTCTCTCTCTCTCTCTCTCTCTCTCTCTCTCTCTCTCTCTCTCTCTCTCTCTCTCTCTCTCTCTCTCTCTCTCTCTCTCTGTCCCGCTCCACGTCCGGATGCCTGCAGCGTCGGAACCTCGGGTCGCAGTCTGTGGTGCGGTCAATATCCCATGATCCCGGTCGACGGGGCCGCCGCCGCGGACACCGGCCTCCGAAGTTGGGGCACGAGACAGGTCCGGTCGACGGGGATAGAATGCCGCCCCAGCAGCAGCGGGGCAGGCCGGAGACAGAGCAGCAGGACAGGCGGGACACAGCGATAGAGCGAGGGAAGCACTGTGACAGGACAGACGGGACAGGGGCGGGGCAGACGGGACTTAACAGCTGAGCGCTCGGATCACAACTCCCAGCAAGGAGTCCCACTGTCCAGTAGGCAATGCAAGCGCATGGTCTTGGATGGCATATTTGGGACACTTCTTAACCCTCGCCCGTATAGGGGGGGGGGGTCGAACGGACCCCCCCCCATGGTTTTTCGCGAATAACTCGCGTAAAAAGCGGCCGATCGCAACGAAACTTTCAGTACCCTCGCGTTGATCAATTTTACACCCACCCTGAAAATTTCATGACCCTGACCCCAATGACCTTTGACCTGTGACCTACTTTTCGAGACCATGTTTGGCCGGAATCGCGATTCGGCGTATGTCGGCTCGCATTAGCCGCGCGTTTGCAGTCTTTTCGTGGTTTCAAGCGTTCAAACATGTGATATGATGTTGCCCCCATGCATTAGGGTGGGTGTCAAGGTCATCTGAAGGTCAGGTCAGGTCATTGACCTTTGGTGACCTCGGTTCACTTTTTCGAGTTTTACATGTTTCTAGGCCAGTTTTTTTAGCTGAATTCGAATTTAGTAACCATATGAACGTTTACGAAGTAGTTTTGGTACCTTCGTAACATGTTACGAAGCTGTCAGAGGCGGTTGACACCTACTAGGAATACCCGGCAGGACCCCTACTGGTTGACCTGACCTGACCTGACCCGACCTGGACTAAATGCATAAAGACATCATCTGTGATCAAAACTAACATGATATTCGTGATCGGCGCCCCGAAAACCCCCATAGCAGCCACACTTTACGACGTTTTAACAGGTCCCGATTTTCCCGACTTTTGGGTCATTGACCTGACCTGCAAGGTCAACCAATGACCTAGGACCTTAAAATTAGGTATCATCGGCTTCCTCTCGTGACGGGCAACACGCTCGTTTTTTCCGCGAAGCTCTAGCTCGATCAGGGGCGAAACGGCAAGGGGGGGGGGGGTCCAACGGACCCCCCCCCCCTTATACGTTCGCGGCTGGAAAAACACCAATACGGGCGAGGGTTAATATATGATAATATAAATCATTTATATGCCCGATAATATACATGTATCATGGCGTATGTAGGCTGGACTTCAGTTAAATATTTTTCAAGCTAAAATAAATGTTCAAAAAGATGTCCCACGTAAGAGGGTCCCTTACCTGTCGGTCGGTGTCAGTAGGGCTCAGTCGACTTGCTGACACCTCCGGAGACCCCGACCGTCGCCCTTCCCGTGGCTCACAGTCGCTCAGTGACAGCAGAGACCGGCTCTCCGCGACAGCAGCGTCAGGCTGATGGGATTGTGCGCTGGTTTGTGCGCACATCAGTTGTGTAGCAGATAGTTCCCTTTTCTCCTCATTTGTTAGCTTCTCTCCAGCGCTGGTTAGCTGCGGAGGCGATTCGTCCTTCCCCAACGGCTCGGCTGGTTGACTCGTAGCTCGTGTGCGCCGGACTGCTGGCTTTCCTGGTCTGACAGCAGCCGCGGCTAACGGCGGGAGGGATTTTCGCGGAGGTGCGACGGCCGCTGAGCGGTGTCGAGCTCGGAGTGGTAGATGGAGCAGAGTCGCCGTCTGAGACCCAGTGACCTCTGGCCTTGTTCTCTCGCACATATCCTGAGGGGATAGAAAACGTCACACGTCATTGGACTGATCCTAGGTCATGAGGCTATGAAACAGATCTTTAATAACAAGATATATATCTAACTCAGCTTGTTTAGAAGGATGTTTTCACCATCAGAAGACTTCGAGGAAGATGAAATCGGTATTTTCGTAAATTTGATCTAGCCTGTTCATGAAAATCGAAGAGCAAATATTAAAGGTAGGGTTAAAACATCACAATTAACGATGAGATTAAGGACACAGTGATAAATGACTGCATTCAATGCTGGATACCGTACCAAAAAAAGTATATGTAAACAAAACATACTTTTTTGAGTTCCTGCACTTTTTGTTCCAGTTTGCGCGTAGTTGTTGCGAGCTCCAGGTTTTTCTTTTTGAGTAGAAGCGCCTCTCGACTGGTCTCCACGGCCCTGGCCCTGGCTGCCAGCGGGCCCTGACGCTCCGCCTCGATCGAGGCCCTCTGTCAACCAGCACCGGCACTCAACGTCAGCATTCACTGTTACTTGCAAATGCATACGCATTCCTCTATTTCTAATGGCAAGGCACCGAACATGAACTGTTTGGTTACAGGCTATTTTCAGTAAGACAAGGGAAATGCATCAAATTCAAAACGTGATTGGAAATGTATTGACGTCTGATCTTACATTACGCACTGGCGGATCCAGGGGAAGGGGGCATTTGGGGCAAATCCCCCCCGCAGCGTCTGAAATCGATGAATATTTACTTGTTTTCCGAGAATAACACGAACACTAAGCAGCTTTTATTGGAAACAATTGTTTTAAACTGCATAACAGTGCGTAAAGAATCGAAAGCCGATGAGTTTTTTTTTAATTTGGAGACTTTTTGGGGAGTATGTCTCCCGCAACGTCCATGACCACCTTTCTGGATTCGCCAGTAACATAACGAACGTTCTGAAAGATCTGTTATTTCTCGTTCCTGTTTCGTTCAAGCCTCCCTTGTGCTGCCGACTAGCCGCAGCCGGGAATCGGCGAGTCAACTGACAGGTAGACTGTACCGCAGGACACCGGTGTTTTGCGGTACGGCCTACCCATCAGTGGTTATCTCCAGGGGCCCTGTTCCGCGGCTCGGCGCAATAGTGCGCTAAGCGTATCGGTGCATTGGGTTTCCATGGTAACATCAACAACCTCGGACGCTTGCTACGCTGGCGCGCCCGAGTTTGCTGCGACCAATTCGTCTCAAACGCCGCACCACACCGTAGCGCACTGTAGCGTCGTGCCGTGAAACACGACAGGCCCCAGGCTGCCGGCCGACCTCAAATTGAAATGGGCGGACGGGGGTGATCTGGGGTGCCCAATGCCCACTGTGCTGTGCGCAGTGGGCACTGCTCGTATATACCTATAGCTGGTGGGTTACAGGCAGGGGCTTTGAACCACCCGATAGCCTGTTTTCGCCCCGCGGTCGGGCCCTAAATCGACCTCCGATGTGGAGGGGACTGGAAAATTGGTGTAACTTATGAATGAAAGAGAAAATGAAGCTAACTGACAAATATAGTGGATCCATTTACCACTGCAAGTAGCACAGTTTCTATTTACCGCAGACATATACACGGCCATTTTTTGTTGGCTTTTAAATATCTTCCCAATTGTTTAAAAGTGTTGAAGCATTTATACCATGTCTGTTAGTGATGTCAATTACGGAAAATCGATATGCCGATACCAAACCAAATACCAACCAAAACTACGGGAAAATACCGAAACCAAACCAACGTGAGAAAATAAGGGAAATACCAACTTTTTACCGATTTCTTACCGATACATTAGTGAGGGTTTATGATACCAACAAAATACAAAACACATTACGATTGAAATACCAAATACTAAGTTGTTATCGGTTTGGTATCGGTATGCCAAAAAGTTGGTATCCGATTGACATCTCTAATGTCTGTATCTAATACTTATCTCCAATCTTAAACCTAATTGTAGAACATCTTATCACATTGACTCAACGAGTGCAAAAATCAATGTTTTTTTAATATTTTTGATAAGGTCTTTTATACTGTTCAGGCGCATTCACAACCCCTATCGTTTGCCCACGCCTAAGAATGCTCTGAAGCCAAATCAGAAAACATGACTACATGTCAGCGGCCCCGCCGATCAAGTCAAGATCTCTAAGACAATATCTGAAAACTTCAGACAGCCTACCGAAAAGTTTCAAAACTGACTTCCGATAGGCATGAACGAATTGAACGCTGCCTTGTTATCGTCAGTAGATCTTAATAGTTTCACAGCGTACATAGTTACACCAAAACATTACAGGAACGCTACCACGATATTCTGCTCAACCTTTATTGTGTAAATACAATGTCAATGGTCATTTTTACATAAGATGACAAAGAAGTCCTTTATTTTCAGGTTCAGTGAACGTGGAGAGACATGTTCTTTCAAATCAATTGGTGCATTTCTATAAGGGGCTTATGTCAGCTACGAAACCATTCGAGACAGGTCAGACTCGGATTTCGTCTCCATGACCAGACCGTAGCGTTAGTGCTACGTCGCGTTGTGATGGTAGAAAATACCCCAAGTAGTGATTACATATATGTATGCATATAAAACACTTTAAATACGGGGGAAATATCATTCAAAAATATGCATGTATAATAATTTGTATATTATATACGTTTATTTAACCCGCTGGCGGTTTTTCGCAGATATCTCAAAAACGGCGGCGCAAAGCGCCGCCGTTTTTGGCACATCTATTTGTGCATCTTTTCCGCACATGTTGTGAGAATTTCAGACCCAGGTCACCTTAGGTCAGGTCACCAGGTCACGCCAAGTGACCTCACCTCAGAAAAAAATAAGAATGCTCGTCTTAGCTACACCGATTGATTGATTGCCTTAAAACTTTCAGCGATTGATTGGAGTAACATTATCTATAAAATGTATATCTCGGAAATTTGATACCGGTGACCTAAGGTCAGGTCAATTTTGCGACCTCTCCATTATAAGTCAATTGGAGAAAATTGAAAAGCGTCTGTTTTGCACGAACGCTCTTCTAGACACTCTCAAACACCGAGTTGTAGGTAAAATGGACACACTGAACCGGAAAATGGCAACTGTGACCCCTCGTTATGTCCCCGAGGTCATCTCAGGTCACGAACAGAATCTAACAGTTTTTCGCTAATAACGTCTGATAGAGACGTGCTAGAGCGCTGAAAACGTCTTAGATGTGTTCGGCTCGTCGTTGCGGATCGACTGATATGCAACATGACCTTTTCCGGTCAGGTCATGACCTTGACCTGAGGTCAAATTTTCAAGTTGACCTTTCAAGGTCAAATTATAGTTAACTCGACGCGTCTCGACAAGAGGAACACGATGGTGGCAAAAATAATGGCATAGCTCTTTTGAGTCAAAAGTTATTGCCGAAAAACGTTTTTCGTAAAACCGGCTATTTTTTAGTTTTTGCCCTCTGGAGGCTAAACCGTTGACCTGAGGTCAAATCTGAGAACATTAGTCAGAAAGGTCTGTAAAAGGGCTATCGAATGCGCTTTTTCGCGGCGCTGTAGCTCTATCGGTTTCCGAGATAGCCGTTGGTAGTTTCCAAAAGGTTGAAATAATGAACATTTGACCTTTGGTGACCTCTGGTGACCCGACCTTTGACCTGACCCAAAAAAATGACCGAAGTGTTTTCGTCCTTATTTTGGACGTTCTTTCGATTGCCGCTTACCGAGTGTCGCTACGTGGCCCAGGAGCCGAGTTAGAAGGGGGGGGTGTTCAGACACCCCCCGGCCCGGCGCGGAATCGCAGAGCACCGGCCCGGCGCGGGTTAATCGTATTGCGTTAGTGAGTTTATTTGGTGAGTTTTTGCAAACACGAGTACATAGTCAATCGCCACAACATTGTTCGCTCACGAGCCCGAAGCTCACCTCGGGCTGTGTGGATGGAAGAGAGCGTTGTCTGATTCTCTCGCATTTTGCGGAGGAGAGGGATCAACATAAGCTGAGCGGCTTCACCTTCTGTCCGACCACAGAGTGACGGACGCCATATTCATGCGCGAAATGTCCCATGTTTAGCATAATGCTGCCATTTTCTTGGTGTGGCTTATTAATGCGGTCATCAGACTTTGAAGATTCAACTAGGCAAGCGGACGCCATAATCGAGAGCTTTTGTATGCTTTACTCAAGACTGGGATTTCCAGACTGGGGGATTTCCAGACTACTGAAGTTGGACTGGGAAGTGTCAGTAACTTTTTCAAAACCATTAGTTAGAGACAACGTGGTTATGGGGGAGAGTTTAGCGTCCAAACTTTTTCGCAATTTCTTTGGAAGCGGGTTTAAGAAGGCTCATACCTCACTTAAGTGCCTCGTGCAGCACCTTTCTCCAACAATAGCATAAAAACAGCATTAATTCACAAGGTTTGAATGTTGTAGACTTTCAGAGCGTATTTTGATTTAACATTATCGTGAGAGTTTGGGAAGTTCGCAGCATTCACAGTTGAGCCTTTTCCATTTTATGACCATTGACTACCTTCACCTGGGCCTGGCAGCTGTTACGCAAGCACTGCAGCTGATCTTAGAAAGTCTCCATGCGGTACATGTTGTACCTAATGGCATGCAAGCTACGCATGGCACAGCTGCAAATCGCCATCGGCGGCCAAAACATCAATGGAATAATGAAGGCTGCACGCCAGTAACACTGTGCCCGGTGCATTTTCCACTGACCAGTCTGGAGTTTTCCCGCTGCAGCTGGCGACAGCGCACCTCGAGCTGTGACAGCTGACTGCTGAGCTGGGAGGCCCGCCGCGCCAGCCCCCGTTCCCGGTCAGTCAGCGGACTGCGCTGCTGAAACAGCAGGCCACAGACAGGCTATAGGGCGGGCGGCAGTCACCGGGGCTGTCAGACAGACAGACATCAGACAGCTGCCGTGCAATGACTCATAGACACTCAACTGAAATGATAATAAAATTGATTTGTATTCGTATCATTGACGTTTGAACTCTCCGTTAGCAGAATGCTGCACTCAAAGCATGTGGTAACAAATCATTATTCATAAAAATTACCTATGTAGAATGAAGGTCAAAGACTCGATGCATGTACCACCAGGACAAGTACTCACCTGCATACTTTCTTTATTCATTAACCCGCGCGGGGCTGGGGGGGGGTAAATTTTACCCCCCCTCGCGAATTTTTGCGATATCTCAAAAACGGAGGCGCGCAGCGCCGCCAAACTTTCAGTACCTTTTCTTACATCAATTTGACACGTTCCCTGAAAATTTGAGCGAAATCCGTCGGAAAATTTTTGAGAGATTGACGTTTTAGTGACGTCATGTTCGCCATTTTCGCCTGAAAAACGGCAAAAGTTCAAACGCCGCTAACATCTTCATTTTTAAAGGAATCAAGACGTAACAAAAAAGGTTTTACGTAA